AAAAAATTCCCTCTTGTATGTCTTACCACTGTATATTTTCCCAGTAATCAACTGTTTCCAGCCTTATCAGCGACCCTGTACTAAGAAAAGCATACCGTGTGCTGTCACGTTGCGTGGTCTTTTGTGTTACACAGAAAGAACCTACATCAACTTGTTCAATGTTTCGTTTTGAAGATTTACTTGTGCGCGATGCGATCCCCATGTTACACAACAGACAGCGCGCATCCTGACAGCACACGGCATACTAGATTTCATAAGTTCTTTAAATATTGACTAATGAATTTCTTATTTTTTGTATATGAACCATAAATGATTCAATTAAAGCACAACGAAGGATCATTGTTCACTCCCAAACTGCTGCATCGTGAAGCATCAGTTATAAATTGTAAACAGGGATATCTTAGTTTTTAGCGTCTCTCTAAACATAAATGCTTATGGTATAATTACATTTAATTGGTCTCTCAAAAACTGTTCAACATATCGAAAAATTGTCCCTTACGGAAAGCGTAGGGAGTGTTGCAGCTCATAAGAACCACTTCATTTTTTCCAAAAATAACGGAACTAATGCTTTAGAGTTGATCAGACCCAGGCATGATTTAAACTTGTTCTGTTCGGCAGTTATTGTTGAAACTATGGATGTTGGGTTCTGGATTCATGTTCGGTGAAAAAATGTAGAAATTTTCCGGAACCTCTAACATGAGTAAATTTCAATAGACCGATCATACATAATATACAAAATCTAATCAAAAAATAATAAATTTTAATGTTGTGGACAAGGTGGCAAGCTGATATGTGAGGAATTGTGGCTGATCTCGATATAACGTGAGGAGGAGATTGGGGTTGATTATAGATTCGTAGAGATCTTTCATAATGAAAGATAGAACCATTTTTAACCCACACCCTACACAAACGAAACAAGGTAGGTGTGTGAACAATGACAATTAATTTGGTACAATCAAATGCACTGAAGAGCTAATTATTCCCGTTTTGCGTCACACTAAAAATATGTGTAAATCTTGAGAAGAAAGTGTTTTTCAACTTTGCACTTTCGAGTTGTACAAATAAGAAGAACATAATAAGAAAATAAGTTATTTAAAGCCATTGGCGCGATCAACTTCACGTAGGCGTGAATTTTTACAAAAATGATTTGCTTCTCATTTAGAAATTGGGCGTGGCATCAGTAGAAAAACCGACACTAGACGCAAAATCTTAGATTTTAGGACAAGGTCGTGATCTTAGCGAGGAGGATTTCCCGGGTGCGTAACTACGGAGTGGCCTTGTTTTGTGGTGCAAGATCGTAGCCTTGGTGAGGAGAATTCCTCGGTTACAAAACTAAGAATGACCTTGTTTTATTGTGCAAGATCTTGCTTTGGGATTACACCGGCGAACAAGTCGTAGCCTTGGTGAAGAGATTTACAGTCACCATAAATACTATAGAAAATAGTTAAGATGCCAAAAGAGCACTTTTGGATTCGGAAACTAGGGAGAGGGGGAGTGAAATTGCACTCCGAGGGTCGTTAAGTAAAATCGCGAGTTCAAAAATTCGTAGCAAGCGGTTTACTATACAGTCCTTAAGATATACCAATACCACATTTATGTGCAAAACGTCAAAATGCAAAGCATACTTAAAAGTTATACGAAAAAAAAATTACTATAGTTAACATTTCCTTGCGATAGCCTCGTCTTAGATACTTACAATAAACTCTGTATATGCGTCATATCTAGGTTATCTCTCTTTAATACCCGCAAATTGGAAGCGACAGAAAATTAAGATAGGTTGAGTCGCATGTCGGATAACATTTAGCGTTTGTCAGATGTCACTCATAAACCTAACCCAAAAATCAATAAAGGTTGACACTTCAATGTTGCAGCTCCCAATTAACCCGGAATAATCGCCATTTTCATTGTTTTGTTGCCTCGAATAGATTTTGTTTTGTTTTTAATTCATCAAGACTACTTCATTAAAAAATAAAAACCGTTGATATAACCCCAGAACAAAAAACTTGGAAGGGAAACGTAAATGGGAACAACTGAGTACAAATATAATTATTTTGGAGAACATTCAATAGATGGCGTATAGTTAGCGTGCATTAAATCTAGTGACTTTAGTACGTGTCGCCATTATGACAGTTGAAATTTGAATTTTGATTGACGGCTTATTGTGCTTTAAGTATAATTACTATTCATTATTACAATGAATTATGCATATACAAATCAAAAACGTAAATGTTGTGTGACAAATTGTGAAGACGTTTCCCAAAAATGGAGCCCGAAGTTTTTATAGAATTGGTTTAGAATATAATGTGGAAGAAATTTACACAAAACTTTTTGGTTTGTGAACGTCATTTTTCTGGTTGCGCTTTAGAACCTGGAACACGAAGAGGTTTAAAGCGTGTGGCAGTTCGCACATTATCTTTAGCAGTTAACACTAATTGAATTGTAATAAATTGGTACATATTTTGTTTTTAGAACGATCTTGAGAGCATCATAAAGTAGAGTTCCATGAAGTTGATCTTGTATCTTGTATATCCATATTAAATTCAATATAACTCCTTGATTGGATTAATTGGAGTTGTTACTTATAAAACAAGTGGTCTGTACTCTTTGAAGCCCCTGACTGCTGAGGTGCATCGGCATTAAACTGAATTTATCTGGATCCCTAACAAACAAAATTGGACTTCACTGGCTGGATTCATTTACCTTTTAGGTTTCAGCTAGTCAAATCCAATGTTATTGTTACAGATCCGGAGAAATGCAGTATAATGCGAACGTAGCTTACATTTTAATATTTAAATTTGGCGCCATTCACGCAAAAGCTGCTGAGAACATACACGAGATGGCGCGTCATTTTTACATTACATTAGAGTTTCCATTCTAAGTTTGTTGTTCTATGGATATAACTGGTATCATATTTTCAATCTTGCTATGATAGGTCATTTGAAAAGAGAATTAAAAAATCTATCAAGTAATCTAAAAATCCAATATGACTTTAGGAAGTTGGCAAATGTTCCTCAAAAGTAGCCATCTTGATTTTTTTTACATCAATTCTAAATTAAGCGTATCAAAGACTAACTTTTATATAAAACTTTTTTTTATATCTCTTATACTTTCGAAGACATTCAAGGAAATGACCAATTTAAGTTTTTTTGATTTTACGTCGAACCTATTCGACATTTTGAATTTCCACAAGGAAATTTTAAATAAGCATTCAAAACTGCAAAACATTGTCCATTTAACCAATTCTCTATATCTTTAATAATAAGAAAGTTACCCGTGCAATCCCACGTATACTTTTATTCCTCTTTGGGTAAATATTTTATACAGGGTTTAGAAATGCACCATAGGGTTCAATACTCATGTCTCATTCATTATTTTTCAATTGGGGAAACCGGAAAATTGCGTACAAATCGAATTTTCAAGTTTCAATAATTTCCCGACACAAGTGACTTTTACTAAAATGCTAACTTCTCCGATTTTCCACAATAAAAAAATAGAAATGGGCACATGAATAGACGTAGAATTTTACAATTAACAAAAAATATACTTACAACTTCCCTGTAAATAATTAGGAGAGAAATGTTTCAATATAAAGAAATTACCATTGAAATACCTATGGTGCGTAAACTAATTCTACACCCTGTATGTAGCTGTATTGCGTGGGCTGTTTTTTTGAGAGATTCGCCGCAATTTAAATCCGGCCCTTCCTTTGGAAAATTACATAAAAAAAAAATACGGTACATGTGAGAGCAGGAAAATGGAAATTATGAATACTTAATGAAATTTCGCCATTCATTTGCAATATAATTGAATGTTTACTACATTTTCAAGTTCAAGGATAACAAGCTTGCATTTAACCTCAATATAAATGCATACCTACCTACCCACCAAAGAATTCAGCTTACATAACACTGAATGTTAAATTACTTCCGATGCACCTAACACTAGTTTATAAAACGGGTACGTCGATCCGCCGCTATAAATTTATTCATTGTCACCCATTCTCTTTAATATTGCACATTACCGGACGGTTAATGGATTTACATTTTTGCGGAAAGAGTCGAACGTGAAGTACGAGTTGAAACACAGCAATAAAACATAATGTATGTACACTCTGATTTAATATTTCAAGCCTGCATGTATGTATAATTTACGACGTAATAGAAAAGCTTCCATTATGGGAAATAAAATAATTTCGCTTTCCGAGGAAACTCTGTATAGGTAGGTGGAAAAAGATTCGATGAAGAGCTCAAGAAAATAAATACACTTACGCATAATGTATACCCGAACTCGAAGGAAACAAGTTTTAAATCCAAAGTAACTTGTTTATTTTACATGTAATGGAATAAAATTTTCCTCTTAGGATTTACGACGTATTATTACGTGAAATGTACGGAAGCTAAAAGTTTATATTGCTCACATGATAAAATTTGTTACGAACGTCCCCAACTAAAATGTTTAGTATAAATGAAGCAGACGTGTAAACTGAATGAGACAGAAGTGCATTCTATATACTTGGTTTAACCATTCTTTGAATTCAAAGCGGCTCCATTTTTATTTCCCATTGAAAATAAGGAAATGAAAGCTTGAAATAGGTTTTCTGTTCTATACCGATGTTGTGCATGGCACGGGGAGTAAAACACGGGCAAGGGAAACGGCGATATATTTATTGTACACGAATGGGGACTGCAATATATCTATCTGCACGTGCAATACATTGTTCGCGTCTTCAGTCACGATTTTTAATCACTTCACATGCAAGCTTTCGTTTTCAGTTTGCGTAACAAATGAGGAGGATGAAGTGAAAAAAAAACCTGTTGCGATTCTAATGCGCGCGGTTAACTTAGTATACACATTCCGAAAACGGAAGCAAATATTTGTTCCGAAGATAATCATAACTGTATCTCAGTCTGCCAAGCTGTATCAATTAATTTAAGCAAACACAGGTGGTGTGTACGCATTAAGAATGTCACTAGCACTACGTAACGTAGATACGAACTTACCACAAAACATACTACGGGCCTGTAATAGTAGTATCTCAAGAGACCGCTTACCTGTAACAAAAAAGAGATAATTGTTAATCGTATGCCAGATCGAACACAAACAGGGGTAATTTAACAAACACTAAGAGATTTCTCGTGCATAATTTCAAAAGACGACAGTTACAATTTACAAACTAAATATCAAACACACACATTCTGGTTCTGCCCAAAGCCCAAACCAGAACAAAACAAAGTGCCAAAAAAAGTTCGATGCCGTTGTGGCATTTTTTTTTCAAAATCCGTTTAAGTACATACAGAGGGATACAAATTTTACTCTTTAAAAGTGCCTTAGAATGATTTAAAACGTCGACATGTGATGCAATTTTGACATGTCCAAAAAATAGTGATCGCAATAGCCAACTAGCTCAAGCTGGGAAGTGAAAAATTAAATAAAAGAGAATAAAAAATCTATTTACCCCAGAAAAATACACGATCAATGATTAATTAAACGTTCAATAAATGAATCAAATTTGACACAAAACACTACACAATTATCTTACAAGCAATCTTTCATCAACCAAAAGACGCAGTGACTTGGTGATTGACATGCTCGGTACTATATTCACAGTAATTTTAATTAAGTACTTATGGGATTATTGCAGGAAGTTGATACATTTTACAATTAACGCGAGCGACAGCGAAACAGAAAATTCTTGAAAGCCCAAAGCGGAACGTCTGGTCACCCGACTAAGAATGGAAAAAGTATCGAGTAATTAAAAGAAGGTACTATGGGTTACCCCGTATTTACACCAGTTATTTATACGAGATAGAAATAAAACTTTCATACAAAAGTTGTGGACAAAAAATGTAACGTAAAAACAAATCGCAAAGTTAGTAAAAAATGCAATTTGGTAAATTTTTTAATGAAACGCCCTGTATATTTTTCCGTTTAATTTCAAACATATGATATATTCAGAATTTCATTTGCGCCCAATTCCACCAATGCAGACGAGCGACGATTTACGTCATGTAGTTTTATTTTTTGTCCATTCGTCTTTAGAATAATACTAGCAGACCCGGTGAATTTCGTACCGCCTTTGGGAGTTCCCGTTTTCTTGGATGGGACATACGCTCGGTTAACTACATAACGCTTATCAGTACTCGCAAAAATATTCAGTATTTCGCAATCGCACGTTTCTTAAGGTCACAAAATGTTTATTGTTTATGAGTTAAATTTCCACTATTGTTCGTAATTATCGTAATATTTTTCTAAACACGAAACTATCCCTTTTAAAGAAGGTCATCAAAAACTTTAATTCGCACGTTTGATTTACCAAATAACAAACGGGGGCAAATTGTCCGGAGGCGAATTGTTTAAAACTCCCTTAACGTCAGTTAACTGAAAATCAAATCTTGGAATAGTAGGGCTGAAATTTGATGAGAAAGCAGAAGGCAGCTGGTGCGCATTTTATGTAGGTACTTTCGGCGACATGAGAACGAAATACGTCATTTTTCGACGAATTTGATGGAACTTAAGAATTTAAAAAATGCGCTATTGTTTTCATTAGGTCCGTCCGTCCTTTTGTCCGTCTGTCTGTCCGTCCGGACCCACCTCTGGGGTTTTGTACTACATACTTTTAGATAAATGGTTCTAGAGTAATAGTACGTAGCCTATACCTTGAAGACGAGCTTGAAGATGTGTCATGAAATTTCGCTGGCTAAGGAAGGGGGGAGGGGGGAATGAATTATTTCCTAAATGCTGTGTTTTAAAAGTAAAACGTGCATAAGATTTACATGCAACAACCAACTGGATTCAGATTTTGCATACGCATGCCTTTGGTGCCTAATGGTACCAAGTAAAGAGGGTAACACATGTTTTGCACATCATGGTATTATAATGGAAGGTCTCACCGAAGTGAATTGGTTTGAGCTTTGTGCAAACTATAACTTTCCCGCGCGACTCCTTTTTGAGATCAGTAGGTGGCTGGAGGGAGGAGAGACTAGAAATTAATTTTATTTTTCATGGTATGTATTCTAATTAAAGGTTTCAACTACAGCAATTCTTTCTGACTCCTTATCAAAAGAGGGGGTCGGAGGGAGACTACTTTTATGTTTCATGACACTCTGACGAGAAAGGTCTCAACGAGAAGATTTAATTTCTACCAACCATAGTCCCCTCCTCGACCCCTTATCGTAATCGGATATAAATAATTACTTATATCTCAAGAACAGGTTGCCGGAGGAGGGTACTCACAAAGTGTGATTAGGACGTCCGGTAGAATATATCTATTGGGGATGTCAAGACAAAGAGTGAATATCTCAAAAACGGTTTGTCGGAGGAAAGTACCCACAAAGGGCCTGTTCCGGACGAAACATCTATTGGTGAAGTCGAAGTGAATATCTCGAAAATGAAGTGTCGGAAGAGGGTACTCATAAAGAACACGTGGAACGTCAAGACGAGAAATGTTTATTGGTGATGTCAAAACTTTCCTTACATTATCCGTAGAACGGAGTGTCGGAGGACGGTACTTTCAAAAAGAACGTCTAGACGAGATACATCTACCGGCGATGTCAAAACTCACATCTCGAAAATGTTGGAGGAAGGTACCTACAAAGGCAAATGATTTCGGAGTATTTCTCTAAGGGCTTGATTCTTCTTGTATTATATAGCGTAGATTTTGAATGTATCTCAGGCGTCTTCAAATTTTTTATGTGTAAAGAGTCCCCTCTCCATTAATCATCTACCAAGAAAGAAAACATCGATAAATATAGCATAATTCTACTTTATAACGCAACCATTTACTAAGCTATTTCGGTTTTAAAAAATGCGAGTTATCTGCACAAGAGTTGTGTACAATTTGTACTTGCTTGCAGTTCTTCAGATTTTGAAATAAGTAGATTGTCTTGACTCGGTGATATTCAAACTCACCCTCACATAGTTTCTGCTAAAATCCTCGATTTCTCTCAAGACTGGTACCCTGTACCTCCCGTCTTCATCGCAAAATCGGTGAAACAACATTTTTGCGCTACCAATTTAACCAAAAAGAGAAAAAAACAAAAAAGACAACATTTTGTAAGAAAGAACAAAAATTCAGTTTGCGTTAAAACAAAGTGAGTTACCGTTTCTTCGACAATAGGGCTGGATACGGATTTGGCTACAAATTTCCATTATTCACACGGATAGACGGACAAAACAGCACAATTTCATATCTAAATATTCCTTAAAAATCAAAGGCAGAGATTTTAAGTTTTTGAAGAATTAGTTGCCATCATTTTTTTCAGTGCGCCAAACGGCCAACATTCTCTATAGCAGTGGTTCTCAAAGTGAGTGCTTGCGGCACACCGGGTGCCGCGAAATTTTTAAATATTTACTTAATAAGCTTAAAATTACATAAATTAAAAAAGGAATTAAAATAATTATAAAAAATGAATGTTCGTTTTTTTATTACAATTCTGTTTTTTTTAGTTTCTATTTAATTTATTTCTATGGTTCATAATTCATGAATCAATCATATCCTGGTATTGCATTACATCAGACTTTCTCAATCTTCAAGGTTGTTGAGGGTGTCCACATTTTAAGTCATAACGACCTAAAAAATTTTTATAAATTTTTTTCGCATACACTTCCCAAAATGGCTTAAAAAAACTCTACAAAAAAGTTAATTACAATTTTTTTGTGAGCTCCTTTGTTTTTGAGAAGTTTTGAATTGAAAAATTAAACCATTTATTTTATTCGATTTTATTTTTCTAAATTTCATTTTTCTCTAAAAGTAAGCATCTTGAGAATGTCAATTACAAACACTTTACACTTTTTGCGTCGGGTTCAAAATAAAGACGATAGAGGGCATTTTCTAATATAATATGGCCAAAGATAATTGCAATGACTATTAAAAGTAGTCGGAAAGTCAAGTCAGGAGTTACCTGACAACTAGTTTTAAATGCTTTTTTTTGTTAAAACTTCTCATCCTTCATCTCTTTACTAACTGTAAAATGCAAAAAAATAATAATACTAGGGGTACCGCGAATTTTGTTTAATAATTTTAATGTGCCGCCAGACAAAAAAGTTTGAGAAACACTGCTCTATAGCATGGTTTTTGTTAAGTTTTAGCGTTATGGTACCAAAAGTCTATTTGACAGACGATTGTAGCAAATTTTGTAAATGCCAGTTTGTGAAAGCAGAAATGATAACTGCGTGTTAGAGCTCAATAAATTTCATGTTTTCTTTCCTAACAAAACAAACTGATAATAAACAAAATAAAACTATAAAAAATCCATTTACCCCCAAACCCACTTATCTAACGCGACATTAGTGATTAGTCCATTTGTTAATTAACCATTCAGCAAGGGAACCAAAATTGTCTAATGATCATTACGTACGGTCGTCACAATACAATAAACTACACGGTATCTCAATTCACAATTAGCTATAAGCACGAAGCGAAACGTTTATTAACGATTAACGCGAGCGACAGGACCAGAAAGCGCCTGAAAGTGGAAAGTCTCGTCGTCCTATTAAGGATGGAAAAAGTATGGAATAATTAAACTGGAGTATAAAGATAGTATCCTGACAGATTGAATGTCAGTAATTAAAATAAGGTGCATTTCGCTGAATTGGCATATAAAATAAATAATGATCCATATATCTATCAACATTTCCATTCGTTGTTCTTCGCATATACAGGGTGGTGACTTGCCTAACGCATCATAGGGATTTCAATGTAAAATTCATTACATACGATTATTGGCTCCCCAAATTATTTTAGAGCAAAAATATATTAAGGTTTTTTGTAGAAAAAAATTTTTTACGTCAATCGACCGTATTAGTTTTCAATTTTTTGCATAAAAAAATTGGAAAAATAAAACCCCCATCTTTTTCAATAATCTGTGATGCCATGGAATTTTATAATACAAAAACCACGCCAATATCCGTCATGCCATGGAATGTCTGCTATAAAACAAATCAAATTCTATCACAAACTATTATCTTTAGAACAGCGAATTCAACATAAAGAAATACCAAATTACTAAAAACGGTTTCCTAATATAACAATTTGCAATAAATGTTCGAATAA